CCAAACTTGGCTATTAAAGAAGCTGATGAAGATGAAGAATTGGATGATAACAACATGCCGGAGATGCCTTCTCCCAAGAAGATCCTTCAGGGAAGGAAGAAGAAACAGGAGAAGAAGAACATTTCTTGGCGAGGCAAACCGGTCAAGGTAACGCATCTAGAACTTAATGTGCTGCATCCTAAAGAACATGGCGGCATGCTGAAATGTGAAGTTCTCTTGCAACAGTGACTTGGATCAGTAGCTGGCAGAAGTTCATCTTACCAGACTTGGCTTACAAGTGTCACCGCATTGGATGTCTGCAATAGACCGGTGCACAGTTGTCCATTTAGATCTGTGACGCCATCGCTTAGTCTATAGAGATCCACAAATGTTCACTGATTTGCATTCTGTACTGAAGCCAACTTTGTTATCAGCCTTGCTCTCTGTCAGTACTCCATGGGTGGTCCTAGAATGGGGGGACGGTCGTCTACTGACTGGCGGTCCTAGAATGGGGGGACGGTCGTCTACTGACTGCTGGTGTAAAGGCCCTTCTCTAATGACCCCCGTAAGCATCTATACATGAAGGTTCTTCTCTACTGACCACCAGTGTAGGGGAGAATGTCACTGAATGTCATAGTCTTGTATCTACAACGTGCTGCTCGTCACTAATGTCCCATGAGCTGTGGATCACATATGTAACCTCTAAGATGTCGTCGTCTCTTCATTTCAAGGTTGAAGGGAAGAAGGAATACTATCTGAAGGTGTCCATCGATGATGAAATCCTTGAAGTGGGTGATTGTGTATCTGTGAGTCCCGATAATCCCACCGAGCCCCTCTATCTGGCAAGGTTTGTATGTTCTTCCTGGCAGTCTACCCTTCAATTCTTTGTCTTGACTGACCCAGTAGATCTTAGTCAGGGCTGCCGCCACAATTGTCTGATGGCTTTCACCAGTCAACACTGTAACTATAGCAGGCAGGTATATAGTGCCATCAATTTTATGCAGTGCACATACTGCATGGTCACCTCAGTCCCTGCCTTCAAGGTTCCTTATCTTGCATGTGCACAATTGGGGCCAGTATAGACAGGAGCCAATAAACCTGCCAGCATACCTTTTTGGATTGTCAGACCAGTGCAAGCACAGGGAGAATATGCAAACGCCATGCAGATGGTATCCTGGCTGTGCTTCAGTGGACACCGGTGCTTTAGAGGCACTTGACTCGTATCGCCTTTAGAAATTTCAGTCTCCTCGGATACATCTAGATAACTTGCTGGCTTTTTATTCTTTGGATATCTTTTTACTTTACCTCCCCCATTCTCACAGCGGCCATTTTTACTAGGGTCAGATGAATCCATCTCCCTTTATTTCCTGGAACTCTGGCACATGTGACTTGTACAGACTCGTTCTATGTCTGGTCTGCCTTTTGGGTGAACTTGGTCCTAGTTTTGCTGGGCTCCACCTGAATGGCGTCTTGATGCTTGATTTCTTTGTTTGCACACAGGATCACATCTATGTGGGAAGATATGAATGGGCCGATGTTTCATGCTCACTGGTTCTGCCTGGGCTCGGACACTGTTCTCGGTGCCACATCTGATCCCCTGGAGCTCTTTCTTGTGGATGAGTGCGAGGACATGCAGCTCTCCTATATCCATGGGAAGGTCAATGTGGTCTACAAAACGCCATCGGAGGACTGGTTCTTGGAGGTGAGATGGAATCTAGTGGGTTTTGTTCTGCTGGGCCACCCATGATATCGGTTCGAGCCATAAATGTGCGCCTGCATTCAGTTAAAGCTGCGCTTCTCAGTTTGCATATGTTAAGATGTTGGCTGAGTTATCTGGGATGTCTTACAGGGAGGAATGGAACAGGACACCAATGTGGTGGAAGATGATGGCAAATCCTACTTCTACCAGCTGTGGTATGATCCAGAGTACGCTCGCTTCGAGACTCCACTGAAGCTGCAACCAGCAGAAGAGAACAAGCACAAGTGAGTCCTCGCTCCCCTGTACTGAATGCTTTGCTTTCTTCTCACTATAAAAGAGAACTATGGGGTCAGTGTTTTATCCCATAGTTCTCTTTAGGGTCACGGGAGGACATATACTAGTGTCCTCCTGTGACCCAAAGCACAGTATTTAGCAGGCTATATAGCAGCATATACTGAGAGCCACAGCCGGGACGTATCCAGACGACTGAGATCCACCCAGCTGCTTGAGTGACAGCTGGCTCTGCCTATCTAGGGGCAGAGCCAGCTGTGCCCGCCCCCTCCCCCGTCCGTCCACTCGGCGCTGGAGGATCAGGGGGGGAAATCGCTGCGGGGAGCTGTGACTGTCGGCACCACTCTGCAGGGAGATGATCAGGAAGCGAGCGGATCGCACGCATGTTTCTGATCACAAAGTCAATGGTCCCATCGCACTCCTGACTGCGAAAACCCTCCGAGAAGCTGGTGCTACGGTAGCCAAGCGGGTGGCAACCGTTAACCATCGCAGGCAAAAGCAGAGATACCGGCGCTCAAATGATAAGCAAACTTCTATTGACGTGCAGCATGACGGGTATCAGCAACAAACGTTTCGGGGTCGCAGAAGATCCCCTTAGGCAAAAGCATACCTCTGCGACCCACGAAACGTTTGTTGCTACACCTGTCATGTTGCAAGTCAATAAATAGACGTTTGCTTATCATTTTGGAGTTTCTGATCAATTCCCGATAGAGCTGATCTGTGACCGTCTTTGTCACAGGTCGGCTCTAGCTATGAGGATGAGTGGAGATCACTCTCTAAGAACCTGTATTGGTATCTTTTAGACTTGTGCGCCGTCAAAAAAATTGTTCCGTTTCGGAATATCCGTTATTTCGTGTCAAACTCAATTGGGATTCGTACGAAATACGGATTTTCGTTAGTTTCGGCACATTTTCGTAACTGTACGAACATTCGTTATGATGATAAAAAGCAAAAATACTAAAAATATGAAACTCACAAGGTATTGCTGGGGCCCCACAATATATGTTTGAGATTATTGTTGCACTATATCTACTTGATTGCCAATGGTGTGTACTTTGATTGTAACTGCGGAGGACTCTGCCTATCCTGTACTTGGCTGTATCTGTGGTGTGTGCCTTGCTTGCCTTTATAAATAAAGAGTTTGAAGAAAAAAAAAAAAGCAAAAATACCCTTAATATTGGAGTCGATGTGGTAGTTGTTTGTTTTTTCCGAAATATGAATTCCGTTAACGGATTCCGAATCAAATTTCAGATAAAAAAAAACTACCATCAACTCCAATATAAATGTACTTTGCTTTTTACCTTCAATATAACGAATGTTCGTAACTGAACGAAAATACGTCAACGGAATTTCGTATTTCCTGCCTGTGTATTGTAATGCAAAAAAATCTTGTCATGTTGTTCAACCTCATTTACAGGGGTGATATTAGTTCCCGTTTCAAAGAAATTCGGATGCGAAATTCGTTAACGGAATTTCGTATTTCGGATGCGAAATTCGGAAACTGCCATTCGGATGCTTCCGAATTGATGAATTTCAGGAAAATTTGTACGGATTTCGTAACGAAACGAATCGCACATGTCTAGTATCTTTGTCATGCTCTATTTTGTTTGCAGATTCTGCACCAGCTGTGCCCGGCTAGCCGAGATCAGACAGAGGGAGAGCCCTAAAGTCTTTGACATCGCTGAAGATTTCGATGGTAAAGTCTGCTACAACTTGGCCACCAAAAATGGCTTGCAATACAAGATTGGTGACGGCGTACTGCTCCTGCCAGATGCCTTCTCGTTCAGGTATTTGTCTTGTAGCTCTGATCAATAACCGAATTCCCAACTCCAGCGAGAATATAGTTTTATCCATTGTAACGAGCCCCCTTGCTCGCTCGGTCCCACTCTCCCGGCACTCCTCAGATTTCAGACCGCAATCGTATGATATTTCGGTCGTCCGATAATTCGGGATTCGAACTGCAGCTCTGTGCCGTTTGTATCCAGTGGTGATCGCTCAGAACAAACAGGCCGGCTGTACAAGTTCAAACAGGACTCGGCTTTATTGGATGCACACAACACACTTTTATACACAAGTTTGAACGCCCCGCCCAACCGACCACCTTACTATTGGTCAACTGCGAAGTATCCTCTAGTCCCTTGGTTCTCAACTGGTGGGTCGCGACCCCATGTTCAGTGGGTCCGCCGCATGCCTTCCACTATTCTAAGTGAGGCTCCTCTGCCTTCCCCTAGCGCAGCACTGTCGGTTCTTGTGCCAAGCAGCCATTCAAAATATACTGCCCAGGGAGTTGCATTCATTTGAATAGTACCCCAAACACGCTTCCCACCCACAGTACAGACACCCGCACCGGAACACGCAGTACCCTAATGCCGAGTGTTTCATTGCAGTGCAGACTTGGGTCGCGACTAAATGACCAAGGACAAATGTGGGTCCCGAGGTTGCACAGGTTGAGAACCACTGCTCTAGTCCTCACTTAGGTCCTCTTGGCCATGCAAATCAGGACTTGAAACAGGGTCAGCAGGGATTGGTCCGATAGCTTGAATGGGAGGGCTGATGTGTGGCCATGCAAATGAAGACTTGAAACAGGGTCAGCAGGGATTGGTCCGATAGCTTGAAGGGGAGGGGCTGATATGTGTAATGACACAGACGTCCCAGGAGATAATTACATTACATAAGCAACAAAATTACATTACATAAGCAACAAAACATTCAAACAGATTGATTCAAACATGGGGCGGAGGACACACAGCAGTTTGAACACCCCGACCACCTTCCAATTGGTCAATTGTAAAGTATCCTCTAGTCCTCACTTAGGTCCTCTTGGCCATGCAAATGAGGACTTGAAACAGGGATTGGTCTGATAACTTGAATGGCAGGGCTGATATGTGCACCATTGTCATTAACATTGGGTTTCCGGAGCCGGTATTGAATTGTGAAATTGGACGGGTGTAGGGCCGGGCTTCCCCGCAACAGCCGTCCATGGGCCCCTGACACCCAGTTCAACCCAACAAGGGTGGGTCTCTATAGTCCTAGGTCCGTAGTCTCTTGGAAGGAGGCTCCTCCAGCAGCCCCAGTGACTGTTCAGTCCCGTCACATCCATAAAGTGGGAAGATTGGAGCCGGTCAAAGTTTTATTTAGCAACTCCTGCGATGAACAAACCTGGAATCCAACCGTGGGTTGTCTTGTCTGTCCTTTTTACTCTAGTGTTCGGCTAAGCAGCCCTGTGAAGCGTTCCCATAAAAAGGAGGATGTGGATGAAGAGCTGTATCCGGAATATTACCGCAAGTCTTCCGACTATATTAAAGGCAGCAACTTGGACGCCCCTGAGCCCTACAGGCTGGGTCGCATTAAGGAGATCTACTGCAACAAGAGAAGTAATGGGAAACCCAACGAGTCGGATATCAAGCTGCGGGTGTACAAGTTCTACAGGTGAGTTTACTGCCGGGACCAGAGGAGGGATTTTTTTGTAGTTCAAAGGCCATTGTTTAACCCCTTCATGACTGAGGCCTTTCCATTTTATTTATTTTTTTGCCCCCATGTTATATTCCACATTTTAGGCCTGGAAATTACTTAAAACCCCCCAACATGATATATTTTCTGAATGCCGAGACTAGTGATGCACCCATACTAGTATCGGTGCCGATACCGAGTATTTGGGTGAGTACTTGTACTCGCCCAAATGCTCCGATACCTTTCCCGATACTTCCTGTATCAGGCAGCCGGGCAGCGCATCATTACACGCTGCCCGGCTTCCCGGTTGGTCAGGAAGCTAGCAAAGCCGGGCGCCGTGTAATGACGCAGCGCCCGGCATTCTGATTGGCCGGGAAGCTGGCGTCCTGCTCCATCTCATGAATCATAAGAAAGTGACAAAGCATTAGTTTGTATTGCTTTAGAAAAAATGTGACCTGTCCTTTTTAAGAACAAGTATCGGTAATTGGTATCGGCGAGTACTTGATCAAAAGTATCGGTGCTCGTACTCGGTCTTAAAGTGGTATCGGTGCATCCCTAGCAGAAACACTATAGAATAAAATGCTTGCAGTTGCAAATTTTTATGTTGCACGATACTAGCGCAACTTAAACCCCGAAATTATTGAGAAATTTACTTAAATGCCCCAAAACACCCTTTTTTTTGTTTTTATTGTTAAATGTATAAAAGATGAGGTTACAACGAGTACATAAATACCCAACATGCCCACGTTCAACATTGCATGCGTCCGTAAAATGGCGCCAAAACGTCAGTAATCCAAAAAGTCCATAGATGACGCTTTAAAAGCCCCCCCCCCCACAGGTCATCAATTTCAATTTAGAGAACCAAAAATACAGGCCCTAGAATTATTGCTCTCCGGCGATACCCAACATGTGTAGCGCGTCCGTCGTTTTCATACGTAGGCGCGTGTTTATGTGGCGACTCGCGGTGGACTTTAAAATATATATATATTTTTAGATTGATTTAACAGTTTTTTTGTTTTTACTTTGATTGCTATCACATAGGGGTGCTTACAAGCCCCCCCTCATGTGATAGCAGATGGTGGTGACAGGTACTCTTTAAGATGATGCTGGGAGTCCAAAGACACCCAGTTTCGCCTTTACACTGGAGAATAAGCTATTGAAGTGCAGATCGCAGGCTTCCCGGAGCCGACCAATGACGGCTCAGGGACCGGAAGTGATGCAATCTGCATCGTTCCCGGGTCCCATAGAACGGGGAGTGGGGGATCGACGAACGGAGGATCGTCCATCTCCTCCCCAGCTTCCCGCCGACACCACGGAAACCCGTCCTGGGCCCGTAGGAGGAGCCCGGGAAGCACGGCGGGGGGGCGCCCCCAGGACTCTAGAAGCGATCTGGCGACAGCTGAGTCGCCAGAATCTCTTCCATTGTAAAGTCGGCCTTACAAGTTTAAACAGCCCCGATGCTGGCGATGTACGTAAGTCACGAAGGGGTTAAACGCATTGCTTCTGGTACTCGAGTGTTCTCTTGCCAATAGCATGGGGGTCACCATTTAACCTCTATTTTATTTCAGGCCAGAAAATACACACAAGGGCTCAAAAGCCAGTTACCACGCAGACATCAACTTGGTGTACTGGAGCGATGAAGAGGCCACTGTGGAATTCAAAGACGTCCAAGGCCGTTGTATGGTGGAATATGGAGAAGATCTGACCGAGTCCATTCAGGAATACTCGGAAGGAGGAGCGGACAAGTTCTACTTCTTGGAGGTAATGTGGAAGAGTTGCATCATGGCAAAGGGGCAACCGTCTAAGGCTATCCCACCTCACCCCAACCACTCAACCATCACGTTCTCAAACAATTCATCCCCACACAGCTCCCTCATGTATCACTGGCCCCTCCCCTTTAGATTGTAAGCCCTCAGGGGCAGGGCCCTCCTCACCATCTCGTCTTGTATTGTGATTGTAATGTCTTCCTTATATTGTAAAGCGCTGCGCACACTGTTGGCGCTCTATAAATCCCGTATAATAGCCATAGTGGTGGGTATGGACTTTTTGTGTTGGTGTGTGTCTTTTTTTTTTTTTTTTTTTTTTGCGCTTAAAGGAGAACTATGAGGAATGCAATATCACTCAGCCTCATAGTTCGAGCCGACGTGTGACAATGAGACTGTCACAGGTCGGCTCAATAGATCAGGAAGTGAGAACCGAGTCGCTCGATTCACTTCTCAATCATGTCCCTGCAGAGAGCCGTGACTGTCACTCACGGCTCCCTGCAGGGATTCCCCACTCCGATCCTCCAGCGCTGACTGGCGGAACGGACGGGGGAGAGGGTACAGCTGGCTCTACCTCCTAGATAGGCAGAGCCAGCTGTCACTCAAATGCAGCTGGGTGGATCCAGGCAGTAATGAGACGGCGTCTCAGTATACCGCGAGCTGTAGCTCCCTATATACTGAGCTTTGGGTGACGGGAGGACGCTAGTTTGTCCTCCTGCTGGGTTCACACCTAGGCGTATTGAATATGCGCGTTTCGCGGTTAAAAAAAAACCGCGCAACAAACGCCCGTTTCCGAGGGCTACTTGGCTGTATCCCAATGGAAACGCGAGACCAAAACGCCCGAAAGAAGTGCATGTACTTCGGGCGTGGGCCGTTTTGTAGCGCGTTAGGGACGGGCGGAAATACGGCAAGGTGTGAACCAGACCCATTGAATACAATGGGATTTAGATGTTTGAGCGTTTTGTAGAGCGTTCGTCGAGCGTTGAACGCGCTACAAAACGTTCAGGTGTGAACCAGGCCTTAGGAGAACTATGGGGGAGAAACACTTGCTCCATAGTTCTCCTTTTTATAGCTCTGCAGTTGGGGGAGTTGGGACACTATGCAGACATTTATGGGATGAAGGGTTTAATGCTTGAGTGCCCTTTGGACATTGACATGCTGCGACCTATGAATATTAAACTGAACCTGTATTTGTAAAGTTCTGTAGCCCCCTAGATAGGGAAGCTAAAGTTTCCACGGGGTGAGCTGCTTTAATGGCATGGTCCTTTATTT